TAAATTCTTAGTACCAACAATCCTTTTTGTAATAGAAATTATTCCAGAGAAGATTGGAATTATAGTAGGAAACGGTCAGAATTCACAAAGTAGTTAACATAACATATAAAGGAAATTACATGTCAGTCTGACCAGCCCCCCACCCGTCCGTCCAGTTCAACAAAGCATGATTGCATGCCAGCGGTATACAAGAAAACCTGGTGCGAGCTGCATTAATTTTTCGTCTGCAGTGCTCAAACTTAGCAGCTCGCTTCAGGTCTTTCACCCGTCGTGATCGATCGTATCGTGTCTCCTGATAAGGACAAGGTCCCAGAGCTTGCTCTGCACCAGAATTTTGGTCGGCAGAAGCTTCCTGGAGATCTTTACCAGTATCTTTACCTGCTCATGGCCGAGAAGGGCATGCTTCTGTCGAGTGCAGGCGACGACACTATAAGTTCGCAGCGGACACCCCGGCCGAGGAGCTGTGTCTCGCGTTGCTCTCGGCGGTGTGGAAGTCTGCATCTATTCTCCAAGAACACGTCTCTTCGACGTGCCAACTTGGAAGAGGACGTAAAAGCACAAGCCGCACCGCAAGTTGGTCGAGAGGATCCATTGCGATTACATGGTCCACGGAGTGGTCCCCTATTATGAGATCGCCGAGATGCGCACAAGAGCCGATCGTGCAGTCCAGACATCCGGCTTCTCGAAGATGTCGGATGGTTTCCTCAAAGTGGTCCAGATCGACAACAAGGGCGATCGTATCGGAGTCCGAGGTCATGGATCGGTTACATGCTCACTTTGTCTCTGTGGAGTACCTCAACACTGTGAATTCAGGTGTGACGCTGGCCCTCTAAAGTAACTTTCGGAACTGGAGGAGTGGCGTCACGAAAATCGAGGTTTTGCTGCGTTCTTGGCCACGGACTCGTTGATCAGGACGAAGGTCAGCAAGCTCAACAACGACAAGCGCAAGGACTTTCCTGGAATCCCGGAACGATGCCAGATCGACGGGCGGAGCTCGGCAAGTTTCGTCAAGCTGAACACGAGATCTCGACGCCGACCAAGCGGACTCGTTCGAGCTCAGCGCCGCCGGTAAGTTCGAAGTGAACGCAACAAAGATCTTCTCAAGAAAGCCCGTGAAGGTCGCGACAAGGACAAACCTCAGAAGCCTGCTCCGACAGTCAAGCCCACCGAGAAGCCCGATCCTGCGGTTGCCTGAAAAGACTGGAAGAAGACAATGTCCTTTTTCACCGCTGGCGTTCGGTTGCCGATTTGGGTGTCGAAACAGCGTGTTTGCATCCGGTCTGGGGGTGATCGCCCGCTTGGGGACTTGCGGGGGACTTCGGTCTGGGCGCCCCGGCGGCACCGCTCGACAGGCCTCTTGTGGTTTTCCTTGTTCCCCGCAAGGACGGGTCCGCTCATTACGACAGCCAATGACGCTTCCTGTGCGAAGCCGACAGCTGTCTCTTGCGGACCTGCTCCACCGTGGGATCGCGGGTCTCAAGTTCCTGCGGTCCTCATGTAGCTTGTGATCTCGGACCCTGGTGCTTGGAGATCTTCGCAGGGCGGCAGCATTAACTCATCAGTGGCAAGCTGAGGGTCTCAAAGCCTGGCTGCCGGTGGACACGGTGGTCTCCGACTTGGTCCTGGAAGCCACAGATGGGCTCGACGTCGACTTCTTTGAGTTCCAAAAGTTGTGCTCGAATATTTTTCGAAGGTGCAGTTCTGTTCCTGTTTCCGATAACCTGAGGTCTTTGTGGAAAGCCACCATGGAGGATGTCATGGAAGGTTCCACGGTCGGCCCCGAGGACGAGGTCTCCGAATTTTCGGAGTGGATCCCGACTCAGACAAAAGATCAAAATTCGTTCGCAGAGAAGCTGCAGCTCACTTCCACGGATCTTAACGTTGCGGTCCTCAGAGAGCTGCACACTCGAGGAGGCGATCGACCCTTACAGGGCTGGGTGCTGGACGAGCGGAAAACCTATCGGCAGCTTCCCACTAGGCCGGATCACCGCAACTTCAGTGTCGTCTGCATCAAAGATCCGAGCGACAGGCTGCCTTAGTTCTTCGTGATGATTGGTCACTCGTTCCGGTTGGTTGCGGCGGTCTACACTTACGCTCGCCGACGGGCCTTGGCAACAACATCCTCGTGCGCCTCTTCCGCATGGTCGCCTTCAACTTTTATGACTATGAGGATAAATACGGCTTTGATCGTACTGCGCCGCCAGGTAAGCTCGCTGCTGAGGCCGTCCATTTCTGGTTGGGAGCTCTCTGTGATGAGAACAAGCTCCAAGTGTCGATGCCCCCTGTCGTTCTACGAGTTATGTTCAACCTCGAGCTTCTGGTGCTCGAGATCATCCAGTCGATCAGCGGAATCCTGGCGACCACCGTGCCGATCCGGGCACGGCGGGGAAGCACACGGGCAATCTCATGCTTGAGGCCAGCCAGCTCTGGACAAAAAGTGGGGAGAGCGTTCTTTCGACCGTTTTCCGAGCACCAGTACCTCAAGGATCTGAGTGGTGCTGGCGTGGAGCTCAACCCTGCTCTCGAACGATCGCTTCGCTACTGGCGAGGTCTTCAGGGTCGCCAAGGAGATTTTCCATTGGCAAAAACAGGTGCCGACGTCGTGCCGACGACCGATGGTTTTACTCCTGATCAGAGGAAACGTGAACAAGGACCCGATGGGGCAGGTGCTGTCATGTTCGGTCGGCGGGCTGTGGCTCCCGAGTCCACGGCTACTCGTCTAAACAAGAATGTCTCTGCGAGCTGGTGGTGGTCTTCTGGGAGCTCGCCCTCGAGTATAGAGTGACCTGCTTTATCGATCGAACCCAGCCGATTGTCTAGAAATCATCTGGAGATCGGCGAGGTGGCAGGTTGGGAGACAGTTTTGAGTTCTTGGCCATCAACGATCGTGTGAAAACTGCTCTGGGCCTGGGGGTTGTTCGAGTTTCGCTTGTCGGGAAGACTCGTTCGGGACTTGCGCGTAGAAGGGTTACTGATCGCTCGCTCGGGCGACTTCGGCGATGACGACTCTGTTCGAGGGTTGTTTTGCTGGTAAAGATACATTACATGTGTTATAATACTAGTGTATGATGTACAGTGCGGCAAGTGCCTTCTGGAACATTTCAACACCTTCTGCATTATTAAGCGTGCAAACACACAGGCACACATGCATGTTTCTGGGTACATATGCTGCTTAATTGCATGAACTGGTTTTGATTTGCTCGACTTGCGTAAGCAGACGGTACTGGATAACAAGTGTCGGTCTGTGTCACATATTCAGATCTATCGATCCAACGGAACAGAAGAGAATGGCAGCGTCGACAGGATGGGCAGGGAGCGGTCTCGGGGTGTGGGGTTCAGCGATGTTCTACGCTTCAAACCTTGAGGGCACCAGGACATCGCTTCGGCAAAGGAAGCCAGAGAAACACCATGAAACCATCCGCAAACTTCACTTTTTGCACTGGAACGTGAAACTGTTCGTAAGCATCCAGCAGATGCTGAAAAGTACATGTGTATGCTTGAGAGTTAGAGGCTTGTACAATGCAGATACATGAAGCAGGTTACAGATGTGTGGACGAGCTGCTGCTTACTTGTTGTTGCACATGCCCTTGTCGGCCAGATGCTGAGCGAAGCAAACGCCATATAGACCGAGACAGGCGGAGATAGGAGAGTTTGAGCCAAAGTTGCCAAAAGAGGCATATGTGCGAGTTGTGTGCAATTTGATGGGAACGAGCATCCGTCAGCCGCTCTGCTTGTGCAATTTCGTAGAGCATTGGAACCTCAGGGAATTTTTGCGGATCGGACCTGTGTGAACATGATGTCGTATAGACTGTAGGCATTCATGCATGGCAACCACTGGACCACGGTTTGCCGCTGTTTCTGGCTCAAAACATAGTGGTGGGGTTATGGAGGGTTATGGTGGTCTCGCATGATGGCATGTGTCAAAAGGGAGTTGTCCCGGATAGGCCATTCGACGAGTTTGCAGCACAGCACCATCTATACAAGAGCCAGGTTTGCTATCCTACGCAAGCACTGTTAATGTTAAGCCGCGTACGTGAAGGGATGCAATGCAAGGCTTGATCTCGAACTTCGAGATAGCTTTCTTCTCCGAGACAGGTGTCAGCGCATCCACGAGGCGTCACGGACTCAAGCTTCGGAAAGCTCGCGTAAGTATGAAATTTGATCGGGTCTCTCTATAGCCTGGGCCAGTGTTTGCGTGCACAAACGGGTGCACTTCTGAACTCCCCATGCGAGAGATGAGGACTCACCGGATGAAGCGACGCGCGATGGCACTCGAGGTTCGACCGTTGGCTGAAGCTGAAGAGTTCACAGACAGCGAGAGAGAGACAGTGGAAGCCACACGGAAGGTGCCTGTTCTTTGATTTGCTTTCGTAAGTCATGCTTTCGTGCTTGCGCCGACTTTGGTTGGGGTTCTCGTGCGCAGTTTCTCTTGTGAACTGCGAATGCGGAGGCTACAGACGAAGTCCTTGACAACGCCAAGCGGCCTTGTGTAAGTGGACACGAATCGCAGGAAGCTACAATGATGGAGGAGGAAAGGTTGAATCGCTGCAATATGAGATGCAGTCGGTCTGTTCCATCCGTCTTTATGTCCCATGCGTCCAGGATCAGTGGTCCTTTGAAGGCCTCGTCGGGTTGGACGAGGCAGGGAGGAGGTTCGGGTCGGTGGTTCCCCACAGTAGTTCACAGGCGGTAGAGGATGTTTGCAATCACTGGTGGCACATGTTTGTTCGTCCAAGTGTCTCGGACCCTCGAAGGCAAGCTTTTGTGGGTTTAGAGGGCCGAGTAACCACCTCTGCTGGAAAGAATTCTGCGGCTATTCATGGCTATTCTGCAGATTCCTGGGCATGGTGTTGCCCCTGGGGCAGCTTGTTCGTCTTCTAGGCTCCTCGTTGTCAGTCTCCCTCGCACTCGTGTTTGACACTACGGAGGCCTTCGACAAGCTCGCCACAAGATATCCTCAAAGACCAGCTGTTGAGGAGAAAACCGGCAAAGTGGATGTGATGGACTACTCGTGGGACCTTTATTCGGCTTTGAAGGTACTGATGGTCTGTTTGACAAACGGTTGCTTCTGAAAGGGCAGGGGAATAGCCGAACCCTCCCCTAAGCTGCACTAGTTAATGCCGGCGTCACCCGCCTGAGCAATCCCCTCAAGGACGAGTTTGGTTGTGCCTGGACGTACTTGGATCTTCAGCAGGCGCATCTTGTACGTTTTAACGTGCTCCGGAACAGATTCGTACATTGTTTCCGCGTGGAATTTCGACTGCTGGAGGCGTCACTTCGTCTCGCAAACGGCTTCCTGGAAATGCTGCCCATGACAGGCGTCGAACGATCCTTGAGACCTGCCTTTGCTCATGTGAGCTGCATGGCAGGTGATACACCGCCTGTTGTGAGCGCCCCAGATATCGCTGACAACATTGCACTGACTGGCAGCAATCCTCCATCGAACTCGCGATTTGGCCACAGTTTTTAGATCATGCTCCTCTTGCGATGTAGTCATGTTTGAAGTTCACATTTACCCAGGCATTTCGAGATAGAGCGTTTTCCAGCGGTCACCTTTCTTCTGTGGGTTTTCGAGTTGTCAGCAGTGACTCCCTTCTGAACCCGCTACACTAGAAAAGGCACGTACTCTCGCCACAGTTTGTTTCGATGCGGTCGCATCTTGCTTTCGCCACCGTCGCACTCGTATTTTTCTCGCAGCTGCTGGTCTTCGTGTGCGCTGGGCACAGTGCCTGCCAATCGCATTTCGCATGTAGATTCGTTTTGAGAGCGGTCCTGGAGTGCCTGAATGGGAGTGGATGCGGTCCTGGTGTGATCCTCGAGCCGCCTTGCAGTGATGTGCCGCATGGTCTTTCCCTGCTTGCGGTTTGCGCCGGCCCGCTGTTTTTTTCGGGTTTGACATCTGGCAGTCTTGAGTTTGTCAGATTTTGGGGTTTGCTGCAAGTGCATGGTGCCTGCTTGGACTTCCGGAGCATCTGCTTGTAGCCTTCTCACATCTTCTCACCCGAAAATGAGAGATGGGTTCCATCCGGCAGTTCGTGGGTCGTGTGTCGCGTCAACTTCTGTGAAAGGCTGCCGATGCTCCCGGTTCCTCAGGTCGCTCTGTTGCTGCGCCGCAGCTGCTTGTGGGTCGCCAGCTGCCTTGCAGCCAGCCGTTTGGGTCCGGTGCGCGGAACTCAGATCTCACAGGGCTCGGAGAGCCTCGTTCAGCGTTATGACTGAGGCTGGCTCTTAGCTGCGATTTGGGCACCGAGGAAGAGGTATCCAACCTCATGTCACTGAAGTCCGGCAGTGTGATTTGAGTTCTAAGGATTGCTTTGAGTTCAATCTGGCTTGGGTTGGGTGGAATGGTCCAGGCTTTCAAAAGGCTGGTACTGCCGGAGCCCGGCGCCCGCAGCAGCAGGTGGTTCGCAGCAGGGAGGCGCTCGCCGAGCACAGGCCGAGGCGCGAAGCAAAGCGAGCACAGGACAAAGGGCAAATGAAAAGCGAAGCGTGCAGCGAAAAACAGGCTGCTGGTCCTCGAGCATGCCGTGCGTGGTGCTGCTGCAGCGGCGCCGCTGCTAGAGCTGGGCAGCCAGCTCCACCCGTGTGCAAAAGAACATTGTCAAAGCGACGTTCATGCTGGAGCTTTTCGGAAGCCCAGGTCTCACGCAAATGGCGCAGCATTGGTTTTCGCTGACTCTTTGCACAGCAAACAGGCAAGGTCGTGAGCTGGCCATTCTTCCAGAAGCACTTGTACGTGCTGCTCCTCAGGTGGCTGCGTTCTATGAGAGACCGCAGGCCTGGGGATCCAGGCCGCAGCGATTCGAAGTGACGCGCAGCAAGAGCTGTGTGCTGGAGCTATGTGCTGGATACATTTTGTGTGCGGTGGAAGGCACTTGGACGATGCTCTGTGGCTGGTATACACAGGCAGGGCCGCGTCAAAGCCCATTCTGCGAAGGATTCACTCGCCTTACTTTGTAAGCTTGTTCAAGATTTCGCAGGTGACGTGCTGAGAGGCCGTTTCATTTTGCTGTCTTCAGCCAGGTGGGACTACAGCAGCCTCGAAGTGTGTGGTGCAGACCCACAGCGGCTCGTCAGATGGGGTGGTGTGAAGGAGAGACGCCGGCGCCTGTGTGGCCTGCAGGAATGGCCATCCACGAGCTTCGGACATATCCAGACTTTGGTGTGATGACTTGCGAGGAGCGCTCAACACTTTTGAGATTGTGGAGAGCCGCCTGCACTCGACACCGTCGAATGAATTTGCTCAATAAGCTTCGAAATCGACGGTTCTCGTGAATCTGGGAAGCCGTCAGCACCAGTCTGTGCCTGCACGGCAGAGAGCATTATGCAAGGCCGCCCCCGCTCCGGACCCCCCCCTCCCTCAAAAAACGAGGCGTGGCGCAGGGCCAGAAGAGGAATTGCAAGATCCAGTTCTGCGGTGTGCCGTAGGGTTTCGAGAATCTGGAGGGAAATCCACATCCGGGAGTTTCGCAGTTTGGGCAGGTTCAGGTTTCGCACCGAAAGGTAATTGTTCCTAATTTTATGGCATTGCTGCACCTTGGGCTTTCATATTCTGCCGAAACAGCTGCAAGCCACACCTGCGACAGTACAGAAAAATGCAAATCCAAACAGGTCTTGCACGTCTTCTGAAAAGTAAAATCTGCAGCCATAAACCTGCTTCCAAAATTGATCACTCCTGCCATGCATCTGCAAACCTACGGTTTGCCACGGGAACGCAAAATCCGGGAATCCACAAAAGCAACCCATGCGCCTCTTGATTTGAAAATCCACAGAACCCACGTGCGCCCCTCTTGCTTCGCAACTCCTGAAAATCCAGCTTCCAATGTAAGAACCCCGCAGTGTTCCCACACTCCTCGGGCAATAACATCCTCAAAGTGATAGTGTGAGCCCCACGGCCTGCGTAAACCCCGGCTCCCAAAGCTAGACGAGCATTTTAGGCCCTCGACTCTAACTCACGTGTGACGCTCCGGCTGGGGTGGGGGAGCTCTTTTGCTTCCTGAAGGGGGAGGGGAGGGGGAGGGGGGGTTCTGATTTCTCAACTTCCCGGACGAGTTGTGCAGAGCGCAGACATTCCAGGACAGATTCCTGCGCTCCGGCACCATGCGTTGACGCTGCAGATGCTCCCTGCTTCGCAGTGCTATGCAGTGCTACTTCAAGCTGCCTGCCGTGTGAAGCTGGCACAAATGGATTCGCAAGTCTGCTCGTTTCCCCCAGCGTTTTTTGGGGTCTTGGGGCCTTGGAGACAAGCCTTCGGATATCTCAAGGAAAAACGGATCGCATTTTGATCGGCGACAGGTTTCTGGTTGCCTGATTTCCCAGCTCATGGTCGAACTGGTCACGGCTCGAATGTGTGAAGTTCAACTGGTGTCATCTGATCTGTGTTCTGTGGCCGTTTCCCACGTTTCAGACGAGTCATATGTCGAAAAACACGTGCAACTCAGTGTGCGCATCGTGCACAGCACAGACGAAGGACGGTAGTAGAAGAAAAGAAGACATGAGCTTCGGCAGCGGAAGATAATGAAAAACATACCAGCACAACGTTGGTGGTTTGAGAATGTTTCATTCCTCGATTGAATGCCGAGCTTGGTGGCTTGTGTTCGCAGGACCGAATCTTGCATCATACCTCTGCGTTCTGGGGCGCGACTTGTGGAACGACTTAACTTCAATGGCAAGCTGCGCAAACATCCGTGCGCAATGCTGCAGTTGCTTGCCACTCGTGTCCAAACCTGAGGTTTGGGTTTGTTTGATCTGCCCTGGTCTTGCGGTGGCTGCCTAGCCCCTTGGCAAATTTGAGCAACATGTGCTGTGGACCAGATAGGCCTTGCCCGCAGTCCTCGCCGTACAAAGGTGATCCTTGGGCGCCATGGGCTCGCGGAGGTCACCACCAGTCTCAGACATTTCGGGAACGCTTGACTTGCCAGCGGTGTGAGGTTGCGCAAGCTATCGAGCAGCGTCATATCACCGTGGCAGGGCTTGTGCACCTCGTTCTGGTTTGGTCACAGCTCACGGTGACACTCACCACCTTCCCAGTACGGCTCATGTCCACCGAGGCCTTCTCTTCTCGATGCTCTTACCATGTCACGCTGTACCTCCTTGCGCAGCTATGCCGAAAGATAATGGTGTTCATGTCGCCTGAGACATGCAACCCAAAGATGATCATTGACCAAGCCATCATTTGCAGTCTGCTTTTTCATGCAATGTCAAATTGATTTTTGCTTTGAGCTGGAGGCACCGTGTTCACCTGGGGAGAAGCGTTGCGGACTCTCTGCCGAATGAGTCTACAAGCAATATCAAGCAATAGTAGGGCAACTGCCGCGTCCCGAAAGGCCATCGACGGCTGCTGCGTGGCGCAGCCAAGTCCAACTGCTGGACTTGCTTATCGCGAGTGAGTACTGGCCCCTCGTCGATACAAACAGGAGTGTATCAGGGTATCTGAATCTTTGCGGATTCGGTGCGATTTCGTCGTCTCGACAACAAACTGCTCAACAACAACATGCGTCGAGCTTTCGAGGCTTGTGCTTTGCGCCGACCACCGGCAGAGTCGGCAGAGTTGCTTGGTTGGGCAGTGGATGCCTGGGGGGAAGTTCCGACACATGCGAATCTGAAAAGTCAGGCCTTGACGGCTTCCGGCCAGTGCGCGGGGCACGGCTCCAGCTGCTCTCGGCACAGCAAGAGGCACTCTCTGCGATGTGAGCACAAGATGATCGCAAAGTCACACTTGAGCCACTAGGATACTGCCTCGCCGCATCATGTGCCACCAGGCCGGGTTTTCCATGCCATGAGCTGAAGCTGCATGCTGGGCTTGTTTTGCCGGTCCAGCTTCACCAGCTTTGCCGTTGACTGTTCATATAGGTAAGCATTACCTTGGTCTCCTCCTGTCGCCAACCCTCCATTTATGGTGTTTTTGAACTGACCTGTCCACGTGTCCATCACAGCAGCAAGTGAGCTCCACGACGAGGGATGGGTAGTATGCAGAGAACACCTTTTGACATGAGTCTCGAGAGGGAAGTAACTAGCGAAAACTACAGAGTGTTGAATTTCTCAGAGCGAAAGGATCTCGTCTGGGAAGTCTCTTTCTAGCTTCGCCCATGGCGCAAGAGTGCGCAGCAGATCAAAGCAAGTGACAGCAAGATGCGTAGCAGAAGCACAAGATAGACAGCAGCACTGGCTTGCTTGTCAATGGTGCGACTTCCAACATCGCGGCACGGATAAAGCATGACCGAGAACGGTCGGACACATATCTAAAGCATGGAGGCTTGCACCGAATCAAAATGAGGAGTGTGAGCCGACGGGCTTCTCAGAAACAGAAAGCGGCTCAAGTGGAAGGCAGAGGGTGGCTAGATGTTCGGGAACTTGAAGGATGAATCATAACAAGTGGAACAGCAAAGGATGGTTCGAACATTATGGTGAAGGACAAGGGGTGGCCAGGCCAAGAAGCAGAAGCTGTGAACTGGACACAGGATACCTACATGGGCAATGTAGCTCCTGTCATTCAGTTTGTGCAAGGGCGCAGCTCGTTGTTGAGCTGTTTCCAGAAGTTTTCTTTCAGTTTGAATGCCATCAGTCAGGCGAGGTCGGAATCTTGTCCGCACTTGCTGACCGGTTTGGCCGAACAAGCCTTGCTGCCATGCTAGCTCCAAGGGTTTCAAAGCTGATTCTTAAGGAGAGCTGTACATCGCCGGTCCCATGGCGTCCCGGCGAGCAATACAACCAAGCGGCCTGGCATCCGTCTCCTAGATGCTTTCGTACACCTGCATAAGGTCAGCGCGCAGGGCTACACCAAAGCCAGCCTGAACGAAGGCCGCAGAATTGTTTGCTCAGTCCGTGGGTGCGATTGAAGACCCGCCAGGTGCCTTTGTGGACCTGCCGTTGGGTGCTGACGGCCAGCTCGTGCGCCACTACAGGCCGGGCTGTGCAGCTCGCTGCAGCAATCAGCCAAAGCGAGACGAGTGAATGCCAATCAAACAAAGCTGACAAGCTTTTGAAGCCTTGGGCGAAGCCTTCAAGCTAGGAACAATCGATCGTCTTCCGGGCGAGGGCTTGAATTACAGCAAGTTCGGACTTGTCCCGAGCATGGAGATGTTACAGTGTCGCTCCCTTCGGCAGAACCCGGGATCTGGCGCGGTGGACGAGGGATGGTGCTCTTGAGTATTGCGGCCGCGCGGATGGCTTCGCCAAGGCGCGGGGTGCAACACACCTTCCTGAGCTCACCAGACTGTGTGCCATTCTGTGACTTTAAGAGCTGGCGTCGATGCTGCAGGTCGGCGGCAAGTGGCTAGATCTTGCTTCAGTTGCCAGAAGCTTAAGACTGCAGCTCTCTTTCTCCAGTGTCCGAGACTTTGCCTAGGCCTAGCTAGCATGCTTGGTATTGCTTGATTGCACATTCCTGATTATGGGCTGGCCTAGGAGCGGAAGCTCCAGGAGGCCGGTTGCCAGGAAGCCGCATTGCTTTGGGACGAGGAGTACAAGGTGAGCCGATGTTTCGCCGTGCTTTCGCTCTGCGAAACTCACGCTCGAAGCCCCTCCCGTCGAAGGTACGTCACGCGGTGGTCGTCCTTCGCGATGGGAAGCTGGAATGCTCGCTGGCCGCGCGGGTTGCGCAGCTCGAGGCCGAACCATGAGCCCCTTAACCCAAAAGGGAGACACAGTTGCAGCCGGCAACCCTAAGCGGAGCGGCTGGAGAAACCCTCACAGTGGTTGGTGGGGGACACGTGGCAAAGCAAGAACACCCTCAGTATCACCACATGCATGTGAGACATGGTGCATTTGAGACATGGTCATCAAAGTGAGCGCTACCGATAAAGCAACTCATGGCGGCATTTCTGCACCGAGCTGCAGCAGACACAGGGCGGACTCAAATTGTGGAGACTTGCGGGAGAGGAAGGCGGTAGACGTGAAGGACGAAGACGGCGTCGAACTCGACAGCTGTTTTGACAGCTACTGTTGTTTCGTTCTTTAGCAACTACGATAGGATACTCTTGCCTTGACCAGGTTGGCAGTTTCTGCCATTATACATCAGGTAGCATCCGTGATGGCTTGTTTCGCGTAAGTCGGAGGCATATATCTCGACAGCCTCCGGGAGGGATGCAGGGCGCAAAGCAGCTGCTGTCGGGAGCGGCGAGAGGGAGCTTCGGTTGGCGTTCTCGGCGCACTGTCGTTGCGGCCCATGGGAACAGCCCTGGGCATGGTCCTCTCGACAAAATGCCACGGTTCGCGCAGTGCGTTCCCTGCTTTCTGATCCATGAAACTATTCCCGCTGGTCGCATGTGTCGACGACTTCATTCGCGACCCCCGTTCCGGGCAGAGTACTGATTACTTAACAACACAACGGATACTAGAACACAATGGAACCGTCGATTTCATGGAATATCTCGCAACGAGAAATGTGTTGATGAACAGAAACCACAGTTTTGTGTCGGAGGGAACACCTGCATGTGTTACAATGCACTGCTCAAGGCACATCTTCCGCCACAGACAAGAGCGGTCCTCAGCATCGTTTCTTCCAAGCATACTGAATGAAGAGGAGAATTTTCGATTCCAGCCAAGGCTCATGGTCACTGATTGAGCATTCAGATGTCGCCCGACCACTTGAGTGTTCCGAGGCCTGCACTTGCTGCAGAGTTTGCCAAAGAGCCTTGGTTGGAATAAGTGCGAAAGCCAAAACACAGAGAGAGAGAGAGAGAGACAGGGAGAGAGAGAGAGAGAGGCTTGCCCACAGAGAGAAACAGGATAGAGAAGGGCAGATGGCGAGGGAAGGGATGCTTCCATTTTGCACGGAATTGTCATTGGCTCGGCTGCAGCGTGTGTTGTGCGAGAGTTATGTTTTCCTGCGGTGTCGTTCCTTCCGACTTCAGTACTACGCAAAGATTGCGCACTGGGCAATTAAGCTAGTCAAACCGCCTTACGCTCCATGCCGAACCATTGCATGGACAAGCGCTTTTCGGCAGTCGTTAATTGTCATGTTGCATAACATCTCGCGAGACCACAATCAGCATGCATGAGTCTGCTGTCGAGCCGTGGCGCAGAAGAAGAACAAGGCAAGAAGGCTCAAGGCGACACCATTTCCATGCCAGACATGGCTGATGCCGTTGGCACGACATGCACAGCACCCTCCGGTCGCAAGCATCTTCAAGCACAACGTGGCCATCGGCACGTGCGAGCGGCAATCGGAGTGGCAGCAAGCTTTACTTCTGCTTGTGGCGGTCCGTGGAGCTACGGCAAAGGCAAATACCTTCAGCTTCTGCCCAGCAATCAGTGCGTGCGCGAAGGGCCGAAGATGGCCTCATGCACTGGCCCTTCTTGGACGACTTGGGGAGGAGACCCTGGAAGCGACCACTGCACCCTCACTCAAATACTTGAAGAGTCACCTGTTGTCGTCTCTTGTAGTTATTTATATGCTCTGCTTTTGCTCCCTTCTGTGAGCTTGGAAAATGCTGTGCTGGGCTGGGCTGGGCTGTGGAGTCGAACCTGTGCCTGAGGCTAGGGGTCTGGATTCGGCTGGATGCTGTAGTGACTGTAGCGTCAATATGGCAGCTGCTGCGAAAATCCCAACTTGCGCACACGGACTTGACGTGCTGGCTTGTGGAATCATACACTTGCTTTTTGTCTGTTGCGAGGTTCGAGGGTTTAACTTTGTTTTGGCACGGGTTTTGTGATTCCAGATGGGGCTTTGGGCTTTAGGTTCAGGGTTCTGGCTTTGACCCCAGGATTTACGGGATCGGCTCGGGGGTTGGCGGCTTCGGGTTTTAGGGTTCATTTATTGCTTTACAGTTCAAGGTTAGGTGGTTTACAGTTTCTGGATTTCGGATTGGTTTAGGATTCAGAACGACTGCGAGGATCCACACCAACATGACAATGCCAGAACAGCTAGAAGGCTCTAAACGATTCGAGATCGATAACTGCAGTTACAGCGGTACAATCGCAGGAAAAGATCCCAGCTGGCTAGCGTAGTGAATGCGACAGCACTTGACGCGTATCGTGTTGGTGTCATGTGCCGCACGACTCTACCAATTTGCGATGAGCCAATTCGTACACCCAAGATGGCCACCGCTTACGCACCTTTAAGCATCCGCCATGCCTGCAATACATCCGAGTAGTTGCCCCGTAGCTTTTCCGGCCTTTTAAAGATCGTTTCAATTGCTATAGTACCTTCAGGTGGCCTTCAACTCGGCTGTGAGCGCATGCGAGTGGAGGATGGCCCTTGGTCTTCTGAACGTGTTGTCCAAAAGCGAGCAGCAAGCAGATGTTATCTCGTACAACTCTGCGATTTCAAGAATTTCAGCGTCTTCCAAGAGTGCCTGGCATCTGGCCTTATACCTGTTGGCCAGTATGGCCATGGGGCATTTGCGTGTGAGCCTCGTCACCTGCAATTCGAGCGTGTCTGCCGTTTCTGAAAGTTCTCAGTGGCAATGTTCTCAGGCTTGCCTCCGTCAGCTTCTGCATCAGCTCGTAGAGGCGGATGTGATATCGTACAACGCAAGCATCATCGCCCTGGAGGGATGGGAGGAAGCCGTCGAAGGGTTCACCAGGCTGCACACGTGCAAAGTGCGGGCCAGCATTGTCACTTACAACTCAGTCATCACCAGCTGTCGCGAGCATAGTCGCTGGCATGAAGCGATGGCTTTAATGGAAGACATTAGGGAAGCCTCAGTCACCCCAACTGTCGTTACGTACGGTGCAGCCGTAAGTGCTTTTCAATCCGGTGGCCAGTGGCAAGCGGCATTGGCACTCTTGGAGGACATGGCGAGGCGTGCTGTGCCAGCAAATGTTATCATTTACAGTGCGGCCATCAGCACGTGTGAAGAAGACGGAAACTGGCGGCAAGCGCTGGGCTTGCTGGCAATGATCCAACAAGGAAGATTGCAACTACCCGGCACTGCGGAGGCCAATGCTACCAAAGACAAGTGTGCCTAAACAGAACAATTGAACGGTAAGAAAGGGGATGAAACGGAATCAAATGGAGTTGAAGCTGTAACTCTTGTCAACCTCCCGATTGTGGGCCCATTTCCGGACTCAGCGATGCGGCCCAAGGCCTTGTTTGTCGAGTGATAGTTGAACTTGCATAATTCCTGTCTCTCTGCAGTCGCCAAACCTTGCAGATTGGATCAGGTCACAGTCCTGCAGAGTGGACCAGTGATGAATACCCTCTGCATCAAACTAGTCTCCTCATTCGTTGAGTTCTACCGGCTGCAATCCTTTGTTTGATACTGGAAGCATTTCTGATTATTGCTTGGCAGGACCTTGTCGTGGCCATGAACTCAGCAATCAGCGTGTGTGCCAAAGCCTCCGAGTGGCAGTCAGCCGTGCAATTGTTCGAGGATGTAGGGTCCTTGCAAGATGTAATATCCTTCAGCTCCACCATCAGCGCCTGTGAACGGGCCAGCCAGTGGCAGCTTGCGGTAAGCCTGCTGGAAGAATGCCGAGAAGGGCTTCTGCAAGCAAACGTAGTAACGTACAGTGCCGTGATCAGTGCTTGTGAAGCCGCAAAGGAGTGGCAGCGAGCATTGCTACTTTTTCTCGACATGAAGCAACGCCATATAGAGGCAAACATCATTGCCTACAGCACAGCAATCATCGCTTGCGAGAAAGGCCGTGCTTGGACAGAAGCCATTTGGCTGTTGGATGAACTCGAGGGCTGTAGTCTTGAGGCCGACGTCATCACATGCAATTCTACAATCAGCGCCTGTGAGAAGCACGGTATGTGGCACATCGCTTTGTGTTTGCTCGAGAGATTGGCCGTAAAGCGAGTCTGCGACATCATCAGCTTCAACTCTACCATCAGTGCCTGTGAGAAAGGCGGCCAATGGCGAAGAGCTCTTGGCCTCCTAGTCGTGCTTCAGAGATATCACCTACAAGCGGACATGATCACGCACAGTTCTGTCATTCTGGCTTGTGACCAGAGTGGAGAGTGGGAGCAAGCGTTATCTCTTTTAGCGAGTGTCCGTCAACGACGTTCACAAGTCAACGCCATCACGCATCTTGATGCAATCGTGGGATACTATGTATGACGTAATTGGGTGGAATGTATGCATGTTTATATGCAGATAACTATATGGATGTGTACATATAGAGGACATATAGGCACACACACACATGTGTGTGTGTGTGGGGCATCTATCTATCTATCTATCTATCTGTCTGTCTGTCTGTCTGTCTGTCTGTCTGTCTGTCTGTCTATCTGTCGGTCTATATATCTATCTCAATAGATAACGAACTAGCCAGAAATAACTCTCTCTCTATATACATATGTGTGTTTATATATATATATGCACATACATACATACATACATACATACATACATACATACATACATACATAATCATAAATACATACATGCATATTCCAGGGCGTTCCACACTCTCTCTCTCTACATACATGCCTACATACACACACACACACACTGGTATGCATATGTATATATATATATATATAGATATGCATACAGAGGTATGCTCGCCCCCCTCCCGCGATCTACACCTGGCCCGTATTGTACTATTTGTCTATCTTTCGTCAAAAAACAGGAGATAAGACTCTCGAGCTACTTACGCGAAACAAGATGCCTTCTTTGATTCTGAGGCGGAACCTTGAAACCCCCATGTGTTTCCTCATGGGAGACTGAGAAGTTCCTCGGACAGATCTCCTAAGGCTAGCTGTACCACAGTTCATGCAATGGAATCAGAGAACTTGTAGTTCCTTGACCAGAGGTAAACTGCGAATCGAAGGGAGTCTGCCTTATTTCTCGGAAGACGAGAGTTGACAGCTTCTTTTGTTTGAGCCTCCTTATCTATCACGCAGGTGCTTCGTTGCCTCCTTCTTGCATAAGCCATTTCTCATTGCGAGACAGAAGAGCTCTCCTCCCCAAATCGTGGTCAATGGACAATGAAGCCTTCCTCTGTTTTGATAGTGTTGTTAAAGGCTCTTTTTGAAGAAAATGGGATTTCCCCGTTTCCGTTGCAGGAGCAGTAGGAGCTCTGTCGTGTATCAACCGGAGCGAGATGTGGTATATCAAGATACAAGAAAGCTCCTTCATGTGTACTCTACAACAGCCAACAAGCGCTGCAGGCGGTATTTCCATCGGCAAGTCAGAGAGGTTGGGCAAAAACACAAAAGCGTGTGCCCATACGTCCTCGTAGGATGCAGCAGGGAGGTCTTCATCTCTACAGCCGAAAGCGAAACTGTTGCATCTACACGTTAACACGCAAACAAGCTTTGCACCGTCCAGTTTTGCACGCAGAGCTGCTAAAGACAGTAGCCCCATCCCTTCAGTGGACAACTTCATTTTTGCGGCGGCCTATCTTTGACAAACAAAAAAGGTTGCGTTTTTTATTAAGGGGCCCTTTTTGCGCAGATCACAGGGGCACAGGGACACACTGCTGTTCTGGAACTCGTGCGTTGCACTGTCCCGAGATGTTGGCTCCCGGAAAGTTGGTACAGCACAGTTCTTCAGGGCTCTGGGACGCAACTGTTCTGTGCTCTGCATTTCGTAGTTGTTCGTGGCAGTGCAGCACTTAAGGTCTCCGAAATCTTGAAAGTGCCGTACCGAGATTTGTAAGCCGAGAGTGAACTACTGCCCCAAAAGAGACAACTATTCTCCAAAGATTTTGAGACCCGGACAGAGTGTTTTCGTATTGCGTCCCGAGTGAGGATGTTTGAGCTCGAAGGTTCGAGAGATTGAAAGATCGAATTTTGAAGGTTGAAAGTGACTAGCGTGGAAGGTTGCACGGTTTGACAGGTGCTGGTTCGAAGTTTTAGGCACGTTGGTATGCGCAAGTGAGCTGTCGAAGCTTCCAAACTTGAAACTCTCGAGCTTTCACTTTTCAAGCTCGACTAGCTGGTTCGAACTCAATCTCCAAACTTTAGCTGTGGTCGCGTTGCATCAGGAAAGTTGGGAGTTACGAGGATGTCGAAATTTCGACGGTTTAGGAGTTTGAATGCGCCTGACGGTTGAAAGTTCGATAGTTTTTACGCTTGCATTTTCGAAAGATCGAAGCTTTCACTCCAAATTCGGCTTGTGGCTCGCCGCTGAGGTCAAGAGCTTGACAGTTCGAAAGCTTCGAACTTTGAGAGGTTAGCGGTTAGCAGTTCGAATTTTCGCAGGTTGGACACAGGTGGAAAGTTCGAACGGCATAATTAAACAGGTCAAGAGTTCGCAAATGCCACGGTTCGGATCTTTGAAAGTATGAAGGTCTGAAAAGCATCGAGTTCAACAGTTCCTCGGTCCGCCGAGTGCTTGAAAGCTTCTCAGAATCCGAAAAAAAGTCAAGTTGTTCGAGTGTGGAAGTCTGAGAGTTTCAAGCGCGCCGGCTACGAGAGGGCGCAGGTTTGGACGATTGGAAGTATGCAGGTCTCGAGTGTGGCGGGTTCAATAGCTCACCACGATACGCAGAGTTCCAAGCTTGAAAGTTTGAGAGTTTGAAAACTTGACAGATCGAAAGTTCGAAGGATTGAAAATTGTTAAGGCCCGGCTTTAGGTGGGGTGTATGCCTGCTACTCACGCTCGGTTTGCACTTCAAGCATTCTGAAATCTGCCTTCATTGGGTGATGGCGGCTGACCACATGTCTTAAACTCCCCTCCTCATTAAACGATGATGACGGTCGATCCCATTTTCATAAAACCCGGCCCTTCATTAAGCGATAGCAGCAACTCACATTCGTAAACCCGCTCCGTCAAAAAATGATGACGGTTGATCACATCTCTTAGACGCGACCCCCCACATTAGGCGATGGCAGATAATTAAGTGCGTAAAGCTGCCCCTGGTCCTGCGTTTGCGGCTTATGACATTGACATGTCTAAACCCTCCATCGTTCTCAAAATCCATGCTCTGATTAGGCGCAGGCGATGGCTGTTACTAGTCATGAGTGCTCAAACTTGCCCCCTCATTTGGCGAGTCCGGTTGATCACGTTTCGCAAAACCGTGGCTCATGAGTGCCAAATTTCGACATCCCACCCCTTCATCAGGGTATCGCGCTTGTGTCAGAACTCCTTAGTTTTTCTTGAGTCATGAAGGTTTTGGGCTCAGGATGTCGTCAAGTCGGGTTCCAAGTTTTCAAGGCTAAGACTTTAGGATTTGGGCAGGCAAGACGTGGGCTTGAAGAACACGGAAAGCTGAAATGGATTTAGGGTAACTAGGGAAGCTACACTTCTCGGGAAAAAAGAACGATTTAAGGTACATGTAACCTTGCTTCCGATAAGGTCCTGTTTAGGATTTCGGTTTCTGTTGCACCCCGAAGCTTTAAACCCCGATCCCCGCACTCATTTGTCATACAGGCCCAGAGTTCCAGTTGATACAACCTTAAAGCACAAGAGCACCTCTGAAATTGCATGCTTCGAAAACAAGCTTTCCATCTTTGGTTTTTCAGTTTCGAAAGTTGAAAATTCAAGCTTTCCATCTCACAGACTTTAACCTGTCAGCAGCCATTTCTCCTTTCGAAAATTTGAAGCCATCGAACTTTCAGTCTCGGACTCCTCATCGTCACTTTCTCGAACTGCATCCTTTCGAGCTTTCTTTCTCGAGGCGGCACCATGTGGACCCACCACGTCCCCCACCAAACGTCCGTCGCACCTGTCTAGTTCCAAACTCTTTATTCTGCAAGCTTGTCAACTTTTTCAAACTCCCCAATCTCGCCCTCCGCCTCATATGCTCACACCGATCGAAGTTTTGGATTTTTCGGGGTCAGCTGCTGCTTTGTCAATAAAGTTTTCTTGGAATTTCGGGCGGCACGCGTGCACACACACACACACATAATTACACCCGCATGCGTTCTATGAGTTTGCAGCGGCCGCGGCAACACGATCCGACAGACAAAGGATGCTGGTTTGCGTGTTGTGTCTGGTCTCGAAAGCATATCAGGTTCGGTGCCGCCATCAGTGCTTGCGCGCAGCGAGTCCAGTGGTGGCAATCAACATCTTTGTTGTCTGAGCTCCAGGCCGCTTGGCGGAATAAGTATCCGATCCTGCAGATTGCAGTGAAACCAGTACGTATCCAAGGACTGCGCTTGCATGGAACTTTTGCACAGTGGGTACCCCACCGTCTCCAAGAAGATTGAAGATGTGAATCCCGACTAGGGTGGCTCGCATCTGCGAATTCGTGCATGTCAAGATGCGATTTCGGGTCGCTTTTGTGCAAATACAGATTTGTGTCTATGCTCACCGCCATGCAATGTGAAGCATAGTTTCGGTTAGCGTTCTTCGTGAAGGCTGGCACCATGTCGCCACAGCATTAAATGTCTCTGAAGCGACGTGTTGCTCAGGGGAGTGAAAGGCGACGATGCGCCGGGCCAACAGCACCGGAATCGATGTCTGAGTTCCGAGCTGAGGAATGCCGCGACCGGCAAGGTGGCCAGGGCGGCCCTGCTGAAAGACTTGCGTCAAGAGGACAGCTCTGCCTAGGGAGCGTAAACTCGTTCAAACAAGCCACATCGAGTGTGCCAGGAGGCCCCCAGCGTTCTGTCTGGCTCGTCGCCCTCCTCTTCTAGCAGAAGGCGGTGCAATAACATGTGGTGCTCTTTCCTACACAACTACTGCAGTGTTACAATGCAGTGCAAGATGTGCAAAATTCCCGGGCCCCATCTGCATTCGGCAAACATGGTCACTGTCAAACAAATGCTGTAAGCATAAGCATGGCAACCATGAAGCTTCCAGGTGTCAAACAGGGAACGGTAGCGACATGACTGCAGGACTGAGCATGCTACCTTGTTTGCCGGTTCTCACAGGCCAAGGCCACCCAAGTCGCCAGTTTCCCGCTCCTTGCTGCTGGGCCTGGTTCTAGCAGCAGGACTCCTGCAAGAATCGGAAGCTGCTGCAGCTGACTGCGTTGAGATCGAGGTTGTCCTGGCAGGACTCCGGCGCAGCAGCCAGGCCGTGCAGGCTGGGAAACTGCCCTTGGCGCTGGCGCTGGCACCGGGATTGTCGGAGTCTCGGTTGTCAAGATGCCTTCAGAAAGTGAAATCCAATGTGGGACACCCGACCGACTCATAATCCAGCTCGCCGAGAGTGTGACTCATGAAGGACAGCTGTCCGGCGGGGTTAAAAGATGTTGAAACCATAATCACCGCTTCAGGCTTGAGGATGCGCAGAACGCATACGGGTAGGATGGGAGGCAGGTATCCTTTTGCTCGGAACATTGGCGCCCTGTGCACATGCACATACGTACACACTCAGGTGAATACATGCTCGGTGTCTTCCGGACAAGGGAACACAACCGTGTGGAGACGCGTCGACATCACCGGCCAGGAACATGACTTGTCCAAAGTCCACAATGTCACAATGACCCGGCCTGGAAATGATACGGCCCAAGAGAGACGACGACCGTAGTCGCGCGACATGGCCGGTTCAAAGACAGGTGCGCAATTGTCCACGGGTAGACAATTGCCCGTGCGCCGACGGGAAACTTACCACAAAATCGATTGGTTGATACATGGGCAAGGACACCGACATGGACACTTACCGAGTCGCCGATTGCGATACCATGTGCCCACACTTTTGGCCCCCTGCTTCAACATCGAAGTAGCCGCATCGACTACGTGTATTGATGGACCCTCGTGGCCATTAGGGAAGTATGGGCGCCTGTCAGGAGAAGTCTCAGCCTTCTGATCCATCGTGACTTTCAATACCCTCCTACCATCATCCTTCACCCTCCAGGTTGGAGCTCATTTGGCAAGGGAATGGCAACTCGGCATGCGCTGACTGAAGAGATGCAGATGTTGACAGAATATCGCAAAGTAGCTGTTATTGCAATGCAAGGTGATGAGGCCTTACCCAAATTGCAGAACGGTAGCTTGGCCAATCTGATCAGGGCGTTTGGTGCTCGTGTAAGCAGCAAGTGCCTGTTTGCATGGAAAAGCCTCGCCCAGGCGTGTTGCGAGTGAATGGAGTGCAGGCGAACGGGGAGGCTTCTCGAAGGGCCTCGCACCACAAAGCTCTGAGATGTCATTTGGGCGGTGCTTTGACGGTTCGGTGCCTCGAGCTTTGCGACTTGAATCGAGCCAACCGAAAGGCGGAAAGTCAGGGCAGCTGTCGCTCAGGCAGGGTATGGTTGAAGTACAAGCTTGCAGGCTTAATCTTGATGCTACGCCGCCCGCCTCGGCTTGCCGGAGAGCAGCACTGTGACACAACCCGGTAATGCTCACTTATGCTGATCCGGAACGCCGACAACTGTGGGAAACGGACCAGAAAGGAGAGGGGGCCAAACACGGCTGTCACTAAAATTGCGGGATGCAGGGAGGAGGATCAGGTAGAGGGTACTGAGTTAACCCCCAAGACGCCTGAGACCTGTGGCCTCGGCGGATTTGAGGGTGACATGTCGCTATGTGATTCAGAGGTTCTAAGCGATGGACCTGAGATCATGGTGTGAGTTTGGCCTTGCAATCTGCGTCGGCACAATTTGCAGCGACAGGCTGTGCAGCTTGCGAGCATTTGACTGCCTGGTTGGCATGCTCGTACTGCACGGGTAAACTCACCTTTCTTAAGAGCATGAAAACAAACGGCAGGCAAGACCTTTTAACATACGACAGTGGCCTGATCCTAGAAAGAGCGTCCGGCAAGCAGCTGCAACACTCTGTGCCTCGATGTTTTTGGTTTGCTCTTTTACACTTCCCTCAAGCACAATGTTTGCACGGGCTTAGAGCGAGGCAACAGTCAGACTGTTGGGGTGGTTGGCCTCGAGTGAAGATGCGGGAGGTGGCTTGGTGACTGTGCCAGGTGCTGCAGTGCGGACACGAAGGAGCCTTGTTCCGCGGGGTGTCGCGGAGCGCCTGACGAACTGGTTGGCTTGGTACAGGCCAAATGTAAAGGTTGACACACAGTTACTCGTGCTGATGAGTTCCGCGCAAGTTTTGTCTTGACAGATCGATCACACTCCTCCTCTCGCCGGAGCAGTTAGATGCCTTGCCCTTCATTTGCCGGAAGCTCGAACCAGAAGCGCGGCCCACGGCGAACGATGGAAGGGCTTCGATGTCTCGAGGTCTCTTGCTGATTGACGGGCTCTTTGACGGCAGATGGCGCTTTTAAGAGGTCCGGCCAGCTCACTTTTCTCAGCGAGGTGTCGCACCGGATTGGTGGACTTTGTGCGTGTGATCCAGATGCCGCTGGGCCTTCTAGGCCGAAGTGAGGGTTACGATCCTTGTCATTGCGTTGTAGAAGAGTCACCTGAGTGTCAGTACGAAGTGACGGGGTAATCGTGAGAAGGAGGGAGGAGAGGAGGAGGAGGAGGAGGAAGACAGGGCGGGGGTGGGAGCGCTTACGTGCCCACTGCTGCTACAGACAGTCGAAGAGCTCACCACACGTGTGCGGGGAGCGTGAGATAGGTTGCAGCAATTGACCAGCACCCTGGCGAGAAGATATTCAGCAAATGCCAAATGCAAATCGAGTGAACAAGCAAACTACCAACACGAAGCATGACAAGAGTCATGTCATGAAGAGATGCCTAAACGCGGACCGAGCCTGCAAGTTGTTGCTGTCGAAGTTGTCGCCATGTCCAAGCGGCCCCCACTTGATCGGCAGTGGACCTCGATAGCCATTTCCAAGCGTTTTTGTGTATGCCTGCTGCAAATCGTCAAATTAAAAGGCTGTGGGGCGTTGCTGGCTGCTTCCTCGCTGCCTTCAACTTGGCTCCTGGCTGCTGCAGGGAGGCTCTGGGCAAGGCCGGGCATGAATGAGCGCAGAAGCCTTCTGGGCTTTCTTCTGGTACGAAATGGCCGGTCTGACCAGGAGAGAGCGTGGTGGCAGTGGCTGGTTGTGGGTTTTCTGGTGGCGCACTTGGTTTGACCCTCGGCCTTCGAAAAGAGAGAGAGATAAAGTTTGCACTTTAAGGCTGGGCTTTCCGAGCTTTGCAGATTCCTGGAGTGGTGCCGTTTGGTCCGCCTGGCCGCGTGGAGCACCTTGCTGCCAGGGCGCATGGCAGGCCCCTTGGAGCCACCAAGACAAGAGTGACACCACTGACACCACCAACTCGATTCCGTGGCAGGCAATGCAGGGTATTGACGCGGCTACTCAACCAACAAAACGCGAGGAGGCTGGATCTCAAACGCTGCCTAAGCCCTGACACTGAATTCTTGCTGTCGAACCGTGAGGGTTTCAATTGCAGCAGGATCGCTATCCTGAACTATCGCGCTGCAGCCACTGCTGGAACTGGGCAGCTTGGCGACACAAAACGATGCTTCGTTTCTTCGCAGAATTGCTTTCTCAGCCCTGGTTCCCAATAGGCTTGGGCTTTTGCTGCGCTGCTAAGGTTGCTACTACGTCGTGCCCGGTTCTCTGCAAGTCGTGGCACCCGACATCACATATGACTGATCTGTGCAGACCTTTCGAAAGTGTGCATCACTGTGTTCCGCGGGTTGAAATTGACTGCAGGCACGACATGGCGACGACGGACATATTGCTCCGACTGCACTGAAGGTGCTTCTTAGCTGGTGGTTCTAAGTGGAAGCAAGTATTTCTGACCAAAGTTTCAGTGCCAGCGTCTAGAGCCAAGAACAAATAATGCAGCTTTTGGCATTGCTTAATCATTATTTCGTACAGGTTGGGAGGCCTATCAGGCTACCCGCCGCATGCAGACAGGTGAGGCGCGGACGGGTTGCGGAAAGAGTAGAATTTTGCATGTCATTTTCATGCATAAACTCAGCCACCCTCACTCACCATCACAGAAGTACTTGTTTGTCAACCGACGGCTTTCTGTGGGCATAAATGCATGGCATTGCTTCTTCTTACTTGCACTACTTGCACACAAGCATTTCTCCCCAACCGAAGCTAGTTTTCGGAGACGCGATGGTTAAGGACCAAACCTCAACGGAGCTGTGTGAAAGCGTTTGGCACTCGTGCATGAAGTCACTGATGCACATCCTAGAGACCGCTGCGAAATCTCGGAGAAGTCTTCTTCAGGTTGGAAGTGATTCCATAGAAGCGTGCCCATGTTTGTAACGTTGTAGGACAGAGGACGGAGTTTCCCCTTGCAGACTGGAACCGGTGTTCCAGCGCACGCAACGCAGCGTAACAATGCAGGCAGTACAACAGTATAGGCATGGGGATCGTCTGAAAAGGAGGCCAAGGAGGCGCAGAGAGTGGGGGAAGAACGTGTCTCAAATGGATTCCTCTTGTGAATGATCACTTGGTGTGAATCCCTTTGAAGAGCTGGACTTTTCGTCGGTGCCATGCGCCAGAAGTACACAACACCGCTTTCAAGACCTCCGAAGTGTTGAATAGTACGGCAAACCGAGGGGTTGTGCTTCGGCGAAAACCCGCGGGCTGGTGCAAGCTGCCACACGGCCAAATTCGTCTGTCAAACAGCCCTGTGCACGTGGAAATGCTATTCGTGGCCTGCGGCACAGAACGCACATTGCCTGCTTTTTTGCACTTCGTTGAAAGCGGCACCAGACCATGCGATGCAGGGATTTCACAACTTCTGGCCTCACGACATGCCGGTAGGAGGTCCACAAATAAACGGATCGCGGCTCGAAAGCTTGCTCTAAGCCGACTGAACAACTGCGACTTGTCGCAGGACAGAGTGTATTGCAAACCGAGCCTCGCACATACATCATTCACATACTGACTCGATGAGATTGGTCTTTAAGCAGCATCTGGAGCTGCTGTATATCTTGTCACATCGCATTACACTTGCGTTGTAGGCCCGATTGGCCATGCGATTTAAGTGTGCTACGAGGACGAGCCAGAGCTGACACCAAGAAGCGTCCGGTGCTTTGCAGATGCTCCTGGCTGTGTAGACATGATTGCATGGGCTTGCTGCATGCAGAGTGCCTGTCCATGCTTGAGACACCAGAATGGCTTCGATATTATTCTGGTAGTTATGGCAGTTAAGGTTCTTGCTTTACATGTTTACATGCTTGGTAAGGTCTCAGCCAAGCTGGGTTGTTTGTCTTGGGGTTTGATGCGCTAGGCACACACGTAACCCGCATTGATCACTGCAGACCTGGGTGTCCTTTTGCTTGCCACTAGCCTTGCCAGATTTCCTGTGTTCAGGTGCAACGGCTTGTTCAGGTGGAGCAGCCGATTTTTTCCTGCCCGCCCGCCGGCCCCCATGGGTGGCAAAGTGCATTATTCGAGCTGATGGGTCCTGGTGGTGTGCGCCCATCAGTGGTGTTGCTTGTCTGCGGGGGTTCGGAGTTCTCGGGCCTGGAGGGCCAGCTTGTCATGATAGTCCTGAGGTGATTGGTGAGTACATGTCTGCTGAACAGTTTTTCCTCACCAATGCTGCCCAAAACGTCTCGCCTTGCGGCCTGATGGCTCAAAGGACAACGGTCGAACGAAGCTGCGCGGAGTAGAAAAGTCCGGTCGCTTTCATGCATGCGCTCCAGCTGTGCTTTTTCGGGCACAGTTGGTAGCGGAGCGATGGTTCGTGAGGCCACGCTCTACCACATGTTTCCCGTGAATCAGTCTGGAGCCGGCGAGATGTTCGCCCCCGCAAGCGAACTTTGACCAAGTTCCTTGGCAACACAGCAGTGCGTGACAGTATACTCTGCTTCCGCGGCTCCAACTATGTGGGGCCCTTCTTACATGATGACGGGGGCCACTGGGGAAGGCCAACCACCGGCACCTTCTCTACCTCCTCAAGGTTCCAGGACTTCCAGCAGGTGGAGGACACTCGAGTGGGTGCGGCGTGCCGCCTCCAAGTGGAGAAGGACGAAGACTTGATCCTCCCGCGTGGCCAAGGTGGACCTACCGGAAGCAGTGGGAGATCGCGCTTCGCAGGTGGAACAAAACACGGACGTCCCACTCTGCCGCAGGCCTGAGAAAGTCCTGAGGTCCCGGAACTGGTCGCCCCCACCTATCTCGAGGCCATCTTGAAGGTGATGAACCTCAAAGGTGGGGTCCGCGACGACGACGAGAAGAGGCAGGCTTTCAAGGACGTGATCCATGGAGCTGCTCGTAAGAAGGACGAGAACCTGGGACAGTTCGCAACCTGCAGGCTTCGAGACTTCGCGAAGGCAGCAACCTATAGCGTTCAGATGAAGGAGGGAGCCGGCTTCAGCGATCAGAACCCACAGAACCTCGTCGTGCTTGCGCAGGGCAAGGAGACGGACGTCGACCTCCTCGCGGCGGCTATGGCGAAGATGGATGCGCGGGCAGATCGTCTCTCTGCATACGCCGGAGCCGAGCCAGGAGTCCATCCTACTTTCGCGGAAGGCCTGCGCGAGTCCCAGGAACCCAAGAAGGACGAGTCCGACGACGAGGACTCCGTGCCCGAGTGACGACGATCTCAAGGAGCCTGTGCAGGCATCTCCCGAAACCAGCTGAAGAAGATCTCCACGTGTCGCATTTGCGACAAGAAAGGCCACTGGGCTGAGGACTGCTATCAGTCAAAGGGTGGAGCGTCTCGCGGCAACTTCTAACCGTCTAGGGTCTAGGGGCTGGACAATCAGCCACAGCACGTCATTGTGTGCGGCGGCGCTCTACAGACTACGTTCAGCATGTCTCCGATTCCTGACTCGTGGATGTTCTGTTCCGTCAACGACGAGCGTCGCAGTGCTCAGCAGCCAGGTGAAATTCGAAGTCACGCCGCTGGCGCCAGGAATCTTCTCTTATGGCATCAACATGCATCAACATTTGCGCAGCGAGCGCCGTGTCCTCGAGCGCGAGGGCACGTTTCTGAAACCCCCGATTACAAGATGCTCAAGACAGTGAGAAGGCAAGCAGGAGCTGTTTGCGTAAAACAGAAGAGCGGGCAGCGCATGTGGCAAACCCATGTGCGACTGCAGGCGAGATGTTCCCCCTGAATCCCCCTGGCAGGTGTCCCGGCCATTAGCAGGGCTTGCAAGGCAAGGCGCAAAGGCTTGCAGTGCAGTTGAGGTTCGCGCGGCTGCGCGGGACAGCTGCGTGATGCGTTTCGCCTGCGCGACTGGAGCTCAAAGATGTTTTGCGGTGCCGCAGCTCAGGGCTTCCCAACAGGTTCATCGACCACATCAAGCTGCAGATCCAGGAAGATCTGCAGCCTTTCCAGGAAGACCGCCCGTTTTTTGGCTTTGAGATGAGTCTCGAAGAGAAATGATCTTTGTGAGGGCTACCAGATGACTAGTCCGAGACTGATCGGGGCCGTGAACGGGAAGATCCTTTGCGGCGACATCTGGTGGGCCCATGAAGGACGCAACCAGGAAGCTTGGCCTGGCGACTGACTACGACTGGTAGTTGGACGACGGCTGTTTTGAAGACAGCTATGACCACGGCTACGACGACGATCATCCAAGCCGCCAGGGAGACTGCAAAAGGAGATCGCGCAGAAGAGGCTCGCAACCGCGAGCGCAGGCAGTGTTGCTATGAGTGGCGGCAAGCAAGGGCTTGAGATCTTTCTGTGTGTGGACCGCACCGCGACAGGGTTGCTTGTTCAGGCTTGACCGAAAGCGAAGCCCGCAGAGATCTGATGGAAGATTGCATCGATGGCCGCAGCAGCACATTCCTGCAGTCTCACGATCGCTCCAACTGGGTCAGCGGCGTATCAGGCACCGAGGCTCCTTCGCAAACTGAAGATCGATTGGAAGAACGACCCTCAACGGACTGCTGCCGCAGGGTCAACGGTGATGTGATGTAGGCTGGCCAGGACCGGTGGGGTTGCTGAAACTGAACCAGCTTGAAGACGCGCGGCGACGAGGAGAACAGGCTCAAGTACCTTCAGGCCCTGGTCGAACGCCCTGTGTGACGACCTGGCTGAAGGCCTCTACCAGTGCTGTTGCTTTTCAAGAGACTTGGACCCGTGTGATTCGCTGAACAGGGCGTTATCCAGCAGAAACATCGGTGGTGCAGTGTTGGCACAAGGTGCGCGGAACTGTAATCCTCCAACCCAGCACGAACGCAGAACACAACACCCATGATGCGATCGTCATAAAAAGGTCACTCGATCAAGGCTGTGCCGACTGACTATCCTGGCGTCTGGCCCCTCTCGCAGTCGTTCGAAGGCAGCGTATGCCTGGCCCAGCGAGATCTAACATGACTCGTCTGGTGTACCTGGTCTGGGAAACCTGGCGGACCTGATGCCGTCTCTTCGAACGGCTGAGATCTATAAGATTTGACGAGGAGAAGGACAGCCGTTATCATTGTTATCATATCTTGGACCAACTGCACAAGGCCAATGAAGAAGAAATGAGGCGGCACGCAGCGCTTTGAGAAGGCCCGCTGGAACTCGTTGCCCAGGCAGCCCATCCTGATCGATGCCACACTGGGCAGGAAATTGTGCAAAATGTCTGGAACGAGAGGGCAAGGTCAGGTTGCATTGCCAATCGCGATGCAGGAGGTCGCTCAGCAGTGTCTACGATTGCAGTTATCGTGAAGAACCATGTCCGTCCATCCCAAGAGTCCAAGAGGTGTTGGTAGTCGAAGAGGACTTCACGTTGCGTGAACGGGAAAGGCTCCGAGCCGACTTCCCGAACTTGATGACCAGCAGCACATAGCAGCTGCGCCACAACCATCGACAGCGGTCTCGACTGCTGTGCCGTAATGGCCCTGCGCATCTCTCCAATAGAAGCAGGTCTCGCCATGAGAGGAGATGGCAATGGATGAAACGCCCTTTTGATCCTCAAAGTGCGCATGAAATGCCGACCATTCATGACTCTGTGAGCAAAGCCGAATTTGTTGTACACCCTAGCTCCTCTGATGTGTTGTGATTGTATCTGCCGGAGGAGATTCACAGTGTCGTCATGAATCGCGAGTGAATCCTTCAGTGGTTGCTGACATTGAGCTACTAGCGAGAGTCTTGCAATTTTTGGCCTAATTTGGATCATCCGTTTTGACTGTCTGTGCAACCTTCTTGGAATGGGCGGCTGGCACCGGGGTCTAGAAGGAGCATGACAGTCCAGATTGTTGGTCCGCCGCAGCGATGTGTCTCAAGCACTTCGCAGGACCATCATAGTTTTTGACTCCCACCCTCCCGCCCTGGATGTCGTCTGCCGACTGAAATGGGGTGGGGGTCTCCGCAGAGGGTTGCGAGCTGTTATGCTCTTCTGACCCCTGCAGGGATCTTTGATTTCCTTGCTCTGTCATTCCTTGCAGGCGGATGCAGAGCGATTTAAACCCAGCGTACGTGTATGCTGGAGAGTGAAAAGGAAGGCCGTCAAGCGTGCTGCATTGTACTCAGATTTCGGAGCCTCAAGCACTGTGCTGCGCCGCTTGTTTTTCATGTTCTGCCGGTGTCCGTGCATGAATTCTGTCGGTTTGCCTCCTGCCGTTTAGGATACGAGCTATTTTTGGACGACGCCGAGTGGCACTCCAAGCGGCACGCCGGCAACTACGCCTCGCACTGCTGGAGCCTATGGGCTCTTTGCAGTGTGTGCATGACGTCAGCTTGACTGCACGTGCATGTTTAACAAATGAGCCGCCAGTATCTCATCCCGAGGTGGATGCAACGCAGGCCGCGTTGTCCTGCATTGGATTTTGACAACACTAGTGCATGCGCTCGTTGCATTGCTGCTGGTGCTGCCGTTCGTGTTGCGCCTGCAGCACTAAGCTTTTTTGGCTGCAGGAATCTTCACCGGCTGTGGAAGCAGCTGCCATGCAGGCAGAACAGCTATTCCCAAGTTTTTTTTGCACGTCTAACTGGTAACCGAGTAGCGCCGAGAGTCGACGATGCCAATCCATAGCCACTCATCATAGCCATTGTACGATGAGCCGTGATCAGTTGGTGAATGCTGCCAGTAACTCTGGCCGACTGGCAAAGTAAGCAGTGCAGCGATTCGAAATTGAAGAGGCAAAGTCGAAAGCGTGTCTGTCAGCGTGCGGTGGGCACACTTGTGGCTTTGAAGGCACCCCGAAGAAAAGGTCGAGCAGTCGTCGGAGGCTAAACGACGAATAGGGTGGCAAGCTTTCCTCGCTCGACAAGTGTAAATTTCTGCCGGTGTATGGCCACTATGTGCAACAAGGTGGATGTAATCGACTTCGCCGAATATGAGGCGTGTCCTGGTTAGCAGACTCCGCGCGGTTGCATGGAACCTTTTTCTGAAGCAAAGCGGAGGTTTCATTCATGCGTGTGCAGGCCTGTTAGCAACTGAAGCAGGTCAGTCTCGCCAGAAGTCGGAGACCGAAACCTCCGCGAGGCATGGTTGAAATCTTGCAGCATGTCCTGAGCGCAGGGGTTATTTGGGATGTGCTAGTCCAGTTCTAGGGCTGGCTAGAAAAGCATCTCTCGAATATCATGGACAGACCTACAGCTGGGTGTTGATCAGCTTCCGGAAGGTAAGGCCGTCCAGGAGAGCATGTCGGCCGCGGCCATACATCAGTAGTTCCTTGCGCATCCAGTTTTCTGACGATCAGTTTGGCAGGAGATCATCTGTGCGATGTCCGATGGTACCTGTTCGTGGTCTTGACTGTCTCCACCTGCCGTTTGCGAGCAGTTTGAAATTGTGACCCAGTTCAGCTCGCATGTCCGACAGATGCAGTTCTCCAGGCGTTGTTACAAGTAGCTTATGCAGATTATGTGCCGGAGGTTGGATTAGCCGCCTAGCCACAAGCATGAAAGACATCCTTAGACCAGGGAGGTTTGTGGCGCCAAAGACTTGCAGCCATGGTGACAACTGTGCCACCCTGAGTATGGGCACAGTTCCCGCAGGTTTCTCTAAATGGCGTTGGCATGGGGTTAATAACTCTTTAGGCCTTCAAGGAACGTGGTCAAGTGCGACAACAGCAAAAGGCATCCTTCATCTTTGAGTCTGATGCTTGATTGCGGGGGTGGGCGGGGGGGGGGAACACCCACCGACAACCTCGGCGACCACGGTGTCAGCCATTGTATTTCTGACACAGGCTTCCGAACGAAAGTACTAGGAGAAGATTTCTGCTGAGGCATATGATGATGGCATGGCTTCAGTATTGAGATTGGCTAAATTTCCAACCTCTGAAGAGGCGACGATGCTTGGCTAAATCTTGGATGCCACCCTTGCGAGGTCGGTAGTTCGAACCCGCCGGCAGAGTCAAGGGCAGGTTCGCTGTCGATCCAAGGAGCGCTTTCCAGCACAGCTTGCTCGTGCCCTGGCTGGAGGATCTATCTACGTACTCCTGGATATTGGTGTTCGGGCATCGGGAACTGTCCATGTCTGAAAGCTTCGTGTGGAAGGCTTTGCATGATATTTGAAGGCCTTGACAGTGTCGTACCAGCTCAATTGGAGTTCACCAATCAAGCCTTTGAGTCCACTGCGTGCTTAGGTTTCATCCGAGAGGCTGCGATTGGATGCCCAACGGTCGTCACCCGTCCGTGAAAGACAAGCTACAGACTCGGATGCAACGCATAAAAAATATGGCAGGCCTTCAGCACGAAAGAACAAAAGAAATCAGCCCAGCAAGTAGTGAGGGCAGTAGTAGTGGGAGCCGTACTAGTCGTAGTAGCAGCAGCAGTAGTCGTAGCAGCAGCAGCAGTAGCAGTAGCAGTAGCAGTAGCAGTAGCAGTAGCAGTAGTAGTAGTAGTAGTAGCAGTAGTAGTAGCAGCAGGAGTAGTAGTAGCAGTAGCAGTA